AGCTGGTTTTCCTTAGATAGAAAACTTTGAATCAATGTGACTGGATGATCTGGTGAACTGGAAAGTGCCTTGAGATGACGTGTTGTATGAACCTAGCTGCTGTTTACCGCTCGTCAAAAAAAAAAAAGAATAAATTAATAAATAAAAAGAAAGACAGAAGGTTTGCAGTTGCAGTAGATTCAGCGTCATGTCTGCTAGGAAGTTTGTTGGTGGATCCATCACACTCAACTTCTGGCGCCCCCTATGTTGGGTATGAAGTGTGGAGGAGAAGTTTTGGACAAGCTAGACGCCACGACTTATGACTAACTTACACATAACGTATGTCAACAATCAGATAACATACCTGTAACTTATGGCTCATGTATGGCATACGCTAGCATACGTCGGCGTATGCTCATACGTTGTTCACATACTTGCAGTATGTTGACGTGTGCCAGCATACTGCATCGTCCTCATAACGTATACAAACCATACCCATAACTTATCCAACGTATGCCAGCATTCATGCCAGATTTGTCGTAGATCAGGCAAACGCTGGTCTACATTGTCAAGGTGTGACAGGAGCTTTGAAAGGAAACAATATTTGACGAATGACAAAGACTCGCAAATGGCAGGGAGGGTAAACAGGGCAGAATAATGAAACAAAAGGCAGTAGAAAGAGCAGAGAGACGGACAACCGAACAGGAATGAGAGGAAAACTGGGCTTGGCAAACAGGCGAGTGTTATCAGTCGGAGATAAGGAACAGCTGAGGCCAATGAAGAGAGAGACACAGACGTAAATCAGTAATCTATGGAAAGATGCTTAGATATACATAAACAATGGAATTAACTAAAAAGGCAAAAAGAAAAAGTAAAGAAAAAGGATCTAGAAAAACTCCTACACCTAAGGATCATGGCAGCCATCTCTAATAGCTGTCTGGCTTCTGGCGTCTCAATGGGAAGCAGTAGGCCTACCTGTACAACAGCATTACAGAAGCCCTTCATATTATAAACGCCTAAACAGTGACTCACTGTCATTTACTCTGTTTGTTGGTAGCTTCCAATATGTTTCAGCATCCTATTAATGAATGTCTAAGTATAATATGATTAAAGTAGAATAACTTGTACAATTAATCCAACACAAAGGGTCTCATTTACCTCCTTGATTCAAGAAAAAATGCACTGATTTTAGGAAAAATTGACTTATTAAGATTGAAATTTTTTGCAGTGTAGCCTAAAATATAGGATTTTAGCCGCTACAATGGTGATTTGTTTATGTATGGCCGTCCTACATGTTTATCCCCATTTTTACTTACCGCTGGTGAGTCTGACAAAGTGGAAAAATTACAAATCTACTTTTGGAAATTAAGCTTGTACGAGCGATGCAAACAGCAACTTTGAATCAGGAGCCCATTTCTCCTTGTGCACGCTCTTGCATGCTTTTAAAAGGCGTTCCCTGTCGGGATCGGGTACAGGGTTGTGCATGTGCATTTTTTGTGGAGAGGGCCGGTCTTTAAACAAATTTGTAAAAAAAAACTCCACTATATCTTTAATTATTATAAACACTATTAAATTGTACAAGGTGTAATTAAGTAGTAAATTGTAGCATGAAATAATCAAAAACACGTCTAAAATTATGAATACAAAAATGAAATGTTATTCTAAAATTACATTCATTTAAAACATTTACTTCACAAGTAAATATATATTACATTTAGAGATTTAGAGTTGATACTTGACTTGTTTCTGAAATTTGTTTTTTAAAATTCTTCTAATATTTTACTAATAATCCATCCGGTGTTCTATTATCCAGGTTATTTTCTTGCAGATTTAACCAATAATTTATAGCTGACTGTGTTCTTATCATATTTCTTTTTGATAAAGCTTCCAGTTAGAGTGGCTCAGGTTATCCTGAGATATCTCTATAGTTATGCTGCTATAGGCTTAGACTGCTGGAGGACATAGGGACCCCTTTTTCATCATTGTATCTCTATTCTCTCCACTTCCTGTTTGGCTGTGACTCCATCCTGGAGAGAAATATCAGCTGTGCTGCTGCCATCAACACCTTTGTTTCTAGATGTTGGAGCTTGGCCTGTTTTTTAAGTGTAGTCCTGTTTCTCTGACTGTGACTAACTGGATGTGCTCTCTTCATCCTCTGACATGGGAGCTGGCTCGGAGCTCGTCTGCCTGGCTGTGTGTTTCCTGGACGGGGAACGTCTGTGGAGCTGGTTTACAGTTGCCTTTTGTATCTATGCTTCTTTTTCTATGTCTGCTTCTGTCTAATTGAACCCCAGTGGGCCTCAGCAGATGGCCGCTCACACTGAGTCTGGTTCTGGTGGAGGTTACTTCTTGTTAAAAGGGAGTTTTTCCTCTCCACTGTCGCTACAAGCATGCTTAGTGTGAGGGATTGCTGAAGAGTCAATGTCGATGCAATCAACTGGTTTTACTTAGATAGAAAACTTTGAATCAATCTGACTGGATGATCTGGTGAACTGTAAGGTGTTGTGAATTGTCGCTATAGTAATAAATATAATCTAGTGACATTTATCTTTACTGTAAATTCTCCTGTACCAACTTTAAGCTTTATCTTTTTTTAATGCGTTTTTGCTCCTGAATCATCAACTATACTTAGATTATTAAATATTTGCCCTGATCCATGTTGCTTCTGCTCCTTGTTGCCTCAGGCTCCCGTCACGTGACTGGCTCCTCCCACCCATCCCGTCTCCTAGCACCTCTCCCATCTCCTCCCGGTTTTCCTTTTCCGGCGGAAGCCCCTCCCTGTTAGCGTTTAGCTCCGCAGCCGCACAACAGCAGCAAAGTCCGAGTAACGGTGTAGATAAACTCGGTGAAGAGGACGCCATGAGTCCCGGGGAGGAGCAGCTGGGCGCGCGGTGACCACACGGAGCTTCTTCCGCCGCTTTGACTCGTTTTCAGGTCAGTTAATCCAACAGAAAGCTCCGGGAAAACAGCGGTCTGCTCCCCAACCCTGGAGGTCTCAGACTGCCAGCTCCAGTCCGGCTGTTTCCTCCGTTTTCTGGGGCCAGACGGAGGGCTGAAGCTGGGACGGGTTCTGGGACGGGACGGGGGTAAGGCTCCTGAGGTGTTCTGAGTTAAAATGTTTCAGTTTAACTGGAGCTGAAGCAGCTAGGTGTCAACAATAACTAGCTAACTTTTTCCCATTGGATTGAATGGAGCTAATATTAGCATCCTGTAACTTTCCCTAGAAGCTAATATCAACATTAGCTCTGCCTCCATCAGCCTGAAAACACCCTCTGTCTGTCAGCCATTGGTCCTTTAGTGATGGAGGAGATTGAAGCTGTTTAGATTTAAATCTTCATGTTTTTATCTTCAGACTTCAGACTATTTTCTCTGATCTGATCAGATCTGAATATTTGACTGAGATCATCTGGAGCTGAAGACCTCCTCTGACTCTGTGGTGGCCTCTGCCATCCTCTGCAGAGCTGTGTGTGGGAGTAGCAGCTAATCTGACCCAGCAGCTCTCTGCTCTGTTTAATGCTTCAACATTTCAGCTGAAACATCAACTCTGGTGTTTAACTTTAGGCCCTCAGAACCTCAGAGTGACTCCAACCATCTTTTGTCATAACTTGCTTTCAGAAGCTGTACTGAGATCTTCTCTTCCATGTGCTGCTTAATAAAGATGAATCATTATTTTATAAAAAAAAAAAAAAAACAACTACAGTGACAGAAGCATTTAAAAAGGATGAACTCGTAAAAAGAGAAATGTACAACTCTAAAAGCAGACAAAATTCAATTCAGTTTATTTCTAAAGCACCAATTCACCAGTGTTCCCAAGTTTTCTATCTAAGGAAAACCAGCTGATTGCATCGACTCATTGACTGGAAGGCAATCCCTGACACTAAGCATGCTTGTAGCGACAGTGGAGAGGAAAAACTCGCTTTTAACAGGAAGAAACCTCCAGCAGAACCAGGCTCAGTGTGAGTGGCCATCTGCTGAGGCCGACTGGGGTTCAAGGAGACAGAAGCAGACATAGAAAAAGCAGCTGTAGAAGGCGGTCACATCCAGGAAACACACAGCCAGGCGGACAAACTCCCATGTCAGAGGAAGCAGAGAGCACATCCAGTTAGTCACAGTCAGAGAAACAGGACTACACTGGAAAACAGGCCAAGCTCCAACATCTATAAACAAAGGTGTTGATGGCAGCAGCACAGCTGATATTTCTCTCCAGGATGGAGTCACAGCCAAACAGGAACAGACCAGATGAAGCTACTATGAGAAAAAGCAGAGAGAGCAGAACGTTAGAGATTGAACTAACAGATTCTGCAGAGTGGGAGAATAGAGATAGAATGATGAAAAAGGGGTCCCTATGTCCTCCAGCAGTCTAAGCCTATAGCAGCAGAACTATAGAGATAGCTCAGGATAACCTGAGCCACTCTAACTAGAAGCTTTATCAAAAAGGAAAGTTTTAAGCCTAGCCTTAAAAGTAGACAGGGTGTCTGCCTCACGGACTAAAACTGGTCCAAAAGAGAAATCATAGATAAAGTCTGTGCTTCTTGGATTAAACATGTCTGTCGGTGGAGTGAAGGTCTAAAGGAGGTTGGTTTCAGCATTGAGACTTGTAAAAGTCTCACAGTGCAGACCTGATGGAAAGCTGCTGCTGATGCTGAGATGCTTCTCTGAACTCCAAATCTGTTTGATTGTTTTCCTGTGTTTAAAAAATAAATGGAGAATGAATCCGTTACGGATCAGACTGATCACTGATCTTTAAAAAGCATGAAGCGTCATTCCAATTACGCTCCATTCCATATTTTTATTTTTAACTGACTCTAATGTATTTTACTGGGTCATGATACGCCTTCACTGCTCCAGTCTTAGTTTACTACAGTAAATGACGACAAAACAAATTTAAAGAGCTCATAAGTCGGTGCTCTTAAATACAAATTATACTTTGTAAGCACTGACAACTTCTGCTGCTCAGATCTTTGTGAGGTACAGTAGATGTAACTCAAAATGAAGAGTCTGATCTATTTAGAGCTGGAGAGCTCCGTCAGAGATACACTGCTGCTCTTCAGGTGCCCTAAGAAGCGTCTCTGCAGATCCTTCCTCTGAGCAGAATGTCTGTTCCCAAAAAACTAAAATAGTAATCACCTCCTCTATACGTGCAATGATGTATATATATTTTTTGTAAATGGTCTGTTGTTGTTTTTATTGCATATTTTCTGCCCATTTTTTACATTTTTTAATTCCCTGTCTTTTGTCTGACCTGAGTGGCCATTTTTAACAACTAAACAGCTTTTTTTCCTGCTTGCTGATGATATCAGAGGCGTCCAGATAAAACCTCTTGATTCCGATTCCCATATTGCTCTGATGTGATATTTAATATTGAAGAATGTGGCGGCAGGATGATGCAGTTTAATCTTATTTTATCAAATATTTCCTGAATTGAACCAATATAATTTCTGTATCCATATAAACTCAATAAAAGCCTCTGAAAGTCTGTGAAGAACAACAGAATCCTGGACAAATTACAGACGATTATTTCCCAGGTTTATAAAATGTCAGTATTATATTTAATGCTTGGAACGTGCGCATAATGCTGTAATCATAGACTTTAAATCAAAACACAGAAATGCCTCTCCTTTATTAAAAATATTTTAACTCAATATATTTTAATGTTGCACTATTAGAAAAGGTTTGATTCATTTCCTTTTTTTAATCAACTGATCCATTTATTACTAACCTCTAATTCCATTAATGTTAAAACAGTAGAATATTCTAGAGTTGAATAAAACAATAAATCAGACATTTGGATAAAGGGCCCAGTCCTTCCTGGGGCCCAAAGCAAAAGTTTTTTTTTTGGCTCCATTTCTGGCAGTAATGTCTCTATCTGTGATCAACAGTTCAATGATCAGATCATTCAGAGACGGACTATAAACTTATTACAGCCTGTTTACAGTCTCCTATCCATCTGTTTGCATCATCAAATAATAATAAAGTAATAAAATAAACTGGTACACAGTTTACTGACAGAGAAACGGTCGCATGGTTTCTACCTTTTGGATCCAACCTGCTGAGCAACTAAAAACTGAAATACATAAAAATAAATGGACATAATTCAATGGTACATAAGGAAGAGGATTAGGGCCACTGAAAAAAAAAAGTTAACTGATTTTTAAATTTTATTTCAGTTAAATATGGGAAAAAAGTCAGAATTCTGAAAAAAAAAATCGGAAAAAGTAGATTTTAATGTCAGAATTCTGACTTTTTTCTCACAATTCTGACTTATATATATATATATACTTTTTTTTTTGGTATAATTCCTGCTCAGTGTGTGTCGCTCTGTCAGCTAAAGGCATGTTTTAGAGTGTCTACACTCCAGTTGACGAATAATCGATTATTAAAATAGTTGAGAATTATTTCAATATTCAGTTAATCACAATTAATTGTTTCAACCCGAATGTCAATAAAAAGTTACTTGAAACGAGGCAGAAAATGAAATTTAAAATTGAGCTTTTCTGTTTGCAAATTCACCATAAAACAGAAGTTTTTAAATGTTTTAACCTGTGACCCAAAAAAATAACTATTAACAGTCTAGTGATTAATAGAAATATACGTATTTACTTCTATATATGTATATTTATACACATACAGTAAAGTAATTATATCATTTTTTTA